AAAAAAAAAAAAAAAACTAAATCTGTTGTAATTTTACCTTTTAACAATATATTACATGTAAATATAAAAGGTAAATATTGTACTTATGTGTGTGTGTGTGTTGTTGCTAGTGTAAGCCAATGAGAATGTGGAGATTGGACAATTAAGTTCCCAAACTTACCCCAGAAAAAGTGCTACTTCCTCATTGCTGAATATCACTGCAGTCACCTTCAAAGTACACCCCTTGGCCAATTGGGTTTTTTTGTTTGTTTTGTTTTTTATTTAGAGACAGAGTCTCACTTTATGGCCCTCAGTAGAGTGCTGTACTGTCACAGCTCACAGCAACCTCCAACTCCTGGGCTTAGGCGATTCTCCTGCCTCAGTCTCCCAAGTAGCTGGGACTACAGGCAACCAGCCACAACACCCAGCTATTTTTTTTGTTGTGGTTTATCCAGGGCTGGGTTTGAACCAGCCACCCTCAGTATATGGGGCCAGTGCCCTACCCACTGAGCCATAGGCGCCGCCCCCTTTGGGCACTTGGCGACCACAGTGATATTCAGCAATGAGGTATGTAACACATTTCTAAAATGAGTTTTCTCATTTAATTGCCAAACCTGGTAAATTTACCAGGTAAAGAGCTCTTATCATTAAGAAATAAGGGCAATTCTGAAACAGAAAGACACAGCCCGGGTTTTCCTTTTCATCTGTTGCTTTGGTGGAGTTCCTGTTTGGCGGCTTCATTTTTGAACAAGCAATCTCCTCTCTCTCCTTCTCTCAAGTCATTTCTCATTGAGCTCCAAGCATCACACAGCCGCCATTGCCATTGTATGTGTAAAACACAGACATACACACCTACATCTGCTAAATACCAGGAAGCAGAGGGCGAAGCCAAAGCAATGAGAGAAAGGGCGTGTTAGTGCCAGTTAGAAGCATTATGGTTTCCTAGTGCCTAGAGGAAAGAGTGAGGCATAGCCCTTCTATTTTAAGGAAATCATTTTTCAGGAAGAACTGAAGGAGTTCCAAGATCATCACAATAATAGTTAAAGATTAAAGAATCAATTAGTAGAAATCTAACATCATTAAAAGATATCTTCAATTGAAAACTGAAACTAGGGAATGGAGAAAGGAAAGGAAGAAAAAATTCAGTTTTTAAAGTCATTCTAGAACTGCTCCAGCAAAACAAAAAGTAACCCTGTTTTGTGACAGGGAGGTGAATATCACCAGGGAGAGGCCATCCTGATCTGAGTTTAGTGACTGAAAACAATTCTTTGAATTATTAGCTCCTACTTGTCTAAGTAACACATGAACATGTTTGATTTTTAAAAACTTAAGTATTTCAAATAATGCTAGGAAGTCCTTAATTGCTTTATCCCTGCTACCTTTGCACCCAGGTAATAGCTGTTTGATGCGTCTCTTTCCCAATCTTTTATATATATTCACAGGAAC